TTTTCATATTTTAGGTTTTTTTCAAGATTAGTCCCAATTGCCTAATTTTTTATGTTTCCAGTCCAGTTCATGGACTAAAATTAGCCACTAAATGACATTTAGTAAATATAAATACAGTCTCGCGTTTTGCACGCGCCACCACCACCGAATTGACCAATAAGGCCCGCGCTTGTTTTGATTTGGTCCTAAAAAAAGTAACTATCTATAATATTTTTGATTCAGCGCTTGATTTTTCAAAAAGCTAACAAAAGCACTTTTTCATGATTTTTCAAATTCATATAGAGTATGGAATTAAAAAAAACAAAAAACAATAGCGAATTTTTGTAGAACATTTATTCATTGATGGTAAAGTCAGAACATTCCGTGGAACAAAAAAGAAAGACAAAAAAATTTCGAATTTTTTTATTACGGTATTCGTTAGGATTGAGCGTTGCACGTTTTTCATCTAAAAATCTAAAAAATTCAAGCTTCAAATTGCTTTTTTTACGGCTTCAATACGACCATTTTTAACGAAGATACAGCTATCCGAAAAATCGCAAGTTTGGAATTTTTTTATCTTTAATTTTTTCTATTAGTGTAGTTTTACATTGCTATTGGTTTCTTATGTGGAAACTACCAAATAATAAGAAATCAGATTTTTTAGTCTCGGTCAAAATTTTCAACAATGAAAAATGTAATACAGTCTACATTATTAATATACATTTTACTCAAAATTTCATATGGAAAAATTACTCAATTTTTTAAGATTAATGTTATTTATTGACAGAATATGCTTTATTGTAGCGGATTTGAAAAAAAATACAAAAAAAGAGTTTTTTTTCATATCTGAAAAAAACCGTTTTGTTACATCTCTAAATATTGTACACATTTCTTTAAGTAAACCAAAATGTTAAAAAGATGGGGAAAATTATCACTTTACATTAATAACAATAGCTTCGTTATTCTTTGGGCTAAAATTTGGTGTAAACATTTTTTCTGGACCAACTTGGACCGCATAACTTATCCCTAGTTAAGTGTATAGTGACAATGGCAAGCCAATAAATATGGAATTAATAGTAAAATGGGGCTGTGATGGATCATCCGGATAGGTAGAATATAAGCAAAAATTCTCAAGCTCCTCCACTGCAACCAAATCCAGTATATTTATGAGTTCAATGGTGCCAGTCTTACTAAAGGATAAACATGATGTGTTACGAATAAATCCCCAAATTTAAAAGAAAACATCACTTATAATATAAATTAAATAAACTTAATACGTTTTTTTCTAAAAAATACTTCTTATAAAAATACATATCTTTGGGTTATGGAACTAATTTTAAATGTTAGAAAACAATGTTTTCAAAACATTTCCAAAACGAATTCATTTTTGTTACGAGTATCATACATTAGACTGGGCCAAAAAAACGACTATTTTTTTGTTAAGTATATCGAAAATATTGTTTGGGGTGACCAAAAAAAATTATGGTAAAAGTTTGAGTTCATAATATTAATATTAAGAGGTCTATCATCGCAATTGACCATATGCAAGGAATGCGGTCGATGTTGCCAAAGGTAAAAAAATAAAATTCCCTATTGGGAACATTCAATTATATTACGTTGGCTAAATTGAAAATTTGAATTTCCCGCACAAACTAAATTAATTTCCATCTTTTTTTTTAATAATATTAAATAACAATAATTTCCACATTTGAAATTCGCACCTTAATTTATTATACAACATTGAAACTACCTTCTTTATCTCTGGGAACTACTAGAATGTATGTCAGTTTCTGCGGGAAAATCAAAATTTCAGTGTAGCCAACGTAATATAATTGAATGTTTCCAATAGGGAATTTTATTTTTTTACCATTGGCAACATCGACCGCATTCCTTGCATATGGTCAATTGACAAATATAAAAATTTGCTAAATAAGGATTTTTTCCACCCGGTGTACGTTTAATGCCCGTACTCCCGGTGTACTTCTAGCCACTTTGTTAATTATTACTAGTCAAAATGGAACAAAAAGTGTCCGTTACTCCAGACAAAAAGAAATTTTACTAGACTTCTTAAAAAGCTACCCTCAACTTTTAAGTTTTTAATTTTGCAGAATTGACAAAAAAAGAGGCACAGGCATTATGGCAGGAACTTGCTATAACATTAAATAGTGGTGGAGCAAGCAAAGATTATTAGCTCTAAAATATCTCATAAATTTTATTTCTGATAACAGAAATGGATTTTCCCGGTTTAAAACGACTTGGTTAGGTTCATCTGCTTGTTAATGAACCCAACCGAGTTCTTCAGCATCTTGCAAGTCTCTGATAATATTAAACGCTAGATTTAAATTGTGCAGATCCGTTGTAATACTTGAAAACACACAGAACATAAGCATAAACAATAATACTAATACCAAAGAATAAACCATAAATAAATTAGATTAGGTATTTTACTAACATTCACAAAATGTCAAATTTTCTCTCGGGAATCTTGAATTCTACTACAAATCAGTAGTAGAAGTGGATTCGCCCAATAATGTATGAAAATATATACTTGCTGGTTTCAAGAATACAACTGTAGATGTTTTCGAGAGAACTCCGCCCATTTCTTACAAATTTCTACTCCTAAGAACTCGGGAATAGGACGTCTTACTGCCTATAGGTTCACAATATACTATTATGTTCTGTAGACAAAAAACTGTTGTTATTACTGTTATTAATAAATATACCTAATGTAAAAGTCAACAACAGTTATCAAAATAGTAGATTATGTTATAAGGAGTAGAAGTGACTCTTTTTGTGGTGAGTACATAGATTGACGGCCGAAGCGTAGCTGAGGCAGGCAACTGTACAAAGCACAAAAAGAGCTTCTACTCCAAATAAAAAAAAAGTATATTTTACTGGCCTTACAAAACATTCAAATTGCCTAGGCAGCAGCAAGGCTAGCCGTAGAACATCTCTCATTTTTCATTCCTATGGAGATGGTAAAATTCAACTTCATCAGTGTAGGATGAAATATATTGTTAGCAACTATTGGTTAAAAGAGAAGATTCCACTGAGTGGAATTCACTTCACGTGTTACCGGCAAACTCCACGCTTGAATCTTCTGTATGCCCAATTATTGTGCAAATAATATTATTTGCACAATAATTGGGCATACATTTTTTGGACTGCCTGTATTTTGCAATATTTTGTTTTAGGTAAATGAAATTAATATAGGTAGTCAACAAATATATACATATACATATACAGGGTGTTTCATAATATATGCGCAGGACTTCAGGATGTGATAGCTCATCCAAAAAGATGAAAAAAGTCGCTATTAACTTACCCTCTAAAATGCACAATTTTCGAGATACAGGGTGTTGAAATTTTAGAAAAAAAATCGTTTTTTTCGAATATCTCCGGAACCGTTTATCGTACAAAAAACAGCTTTTGTAAGCATTTTCTACTCAAAATAAGCTATGTTTTGTGCTAGAAAAAAATTTTTTTCCTCACAATTGGTGGAGATTTTGAAGGGGTAGCGGGTGTTTTTCTCCTCAACTTCTACGCCCCTGAAAAAAGTACGGTTTTGAGAGGCCCATTCGAACCGCCAATGTTTACTACACAAAAAAGGTACTCCTGGTCATAAGCTCTAAAGTTGACCGTTTTCGAGAAAAATCAACTTTTATGTTTAAAAACATGGTAAATTTAAAAAAAATATATTTTTTTTACTAATTAAACAAAATTTATTTTAACGTTAGGACAAGTAACAAAACCAAACCATAATTGCAAAATAAAAAATGATTTAAAAGTTGTCTTTGCTTAATTCTCCAAACCGCAAAGGTAACGCATTTCGCACATTTCAGCATTTGAGTAAAAAATCATTTTTTATTTTTTTTTTAATTTTGCAATTATCGTTTGGTTTTGTTACTTTTTCTAAGTTAAAATAAATTTTGTTTAATTGGTAATACAAATTTTTTTTCAAAAAATTGACCATGTTTTTAAACATAAAAGTTGATTTTTCTCGAAAACGGTCTACTTTAGAGCTTATGACCAAGAGTACCTTTTTTCTGTAGAAAACATTGGCGGTTCGAATGGGCCTCTCAAAACCGTACTTTTTTCAGGGGCGTTGAAGTTGAGGAGAAAAACACCCGCTACCCCTTCAAAATCTCCACCAATTATGAGTAAAAAAAAATTTTTTCTGGCACAAAACATAGCTTATTATGAGTAGAAAATGCTTACAAAAGCTGTTTTTTGTACGATAAACGGTTCCAGAGATAATCTAAAAAAACGATTTTTTTTCTAAAATTTCAACACCCTGTATCTCGAAAATTGTGCATTTTAGAGGGTAAGTTAATAGCGACTTTTTTCATCTTTTTGGATGAGCTATCACATCCTGAAGTCCTGCGCATATATTATGAAACACCCTGTATAGATATATATATACTTATATATGAGTACAAATTTTTAAAAAATATATATTTTATTATATTTATGTACATAACTGCACTGCCCACAGCATAAGTAAACCAGATACATAAGTTAATATTTGAAGAATAAAACACATTTATAAACTTAAGGCAGATGCAAAACTGAGTATTTGTTTCTTCCTGTCGGATGCAAAACTCGGTATTTGCTGTATACAGTCTATAGACCAATCACGTCGTTAGTATACGCATTACGTGACGACATAACAATCACCTGATTAATTGTTATTTTTTGGTATTTGCACTTTTCACTTGCAAAACTTGGTCTTTGAACGAGTAAGATGCAAAACTATGTTCTTAAATCTTTTAAATTCAATTATTTACTAAACTACTTAATTTTAAAGGATTTTTTTTACTTTTGTGAATAAGAAATCATGCAAAAGCACGTCTATAAAATTTTTGCATTTTTTTTTCAAAAATGATCTTATAAGCGGTTTTTTGTGTTTTTCGTAAAATTACTTATCCTGCAAATACAGAGTTGTGCATCTAATGTACTCGCATCTAATGTACTCGTATATAGGAAATCTACTTTAAGCTTAGCATAACTTTATACCATACCTGTCCAGAACATATTCTATGGATGGTGTCGCCTTTTATGGGTTGTATAATTAAAACGTCTTGGTTTGTTGGTGCCAAATCTTCTTTTAAATCAAATTCCATATTTTCTTATTAATTATAGGTAGGTACTTAACTTGTTTTATAAATATAACAATAGTTGTTACTATTAGTAACTTACTAAAGACTCGAAATGTTACCACAACGAAATTATTTTTATAAACTAAAAAAACATATGGGCACAGAACATAAAAGCATATGGATCAAATCATTTAACAAGCAAATAACCCTATTATGATAATAACAGATAGGTACAACCAGAGACAAGACTTTCTTACTCTATGGGTACAACCACAGAACATAGAAAAAGTACAACAAAAAATACGACCATTGGTCCAATGGCATATTTACGCGGGAAATTAGTTAATTGCTATCAGTGTTGCCAACACTAGAGATGCGTATTATCACAATTATCACAATTGTGTGGATTGTGCGTAAAACGCAGAATATAAACAAAAACAAATGTCAACCATTTTAGTTGTCATCGCGCATGGTTACGGAATTTTACACGGAAATCTATAAATTGATTTTTTACAAGACGCACAAATCGTACGGGCACGATTACGGGAGAAAGGAAGGAAGGCAATCTATAATTCAGGCTTTAGCCTAAATTCGTAAGCGATTTTTAATTTTAAAAATCACTGGTTTACCCCTTGTAAAATACTCACAATTGGCAGCACTGGAGGCCAGCGCCAACACCGACGCCAACTGAAAGTTTATCGTAAATCGCGCTTTAAAATTCTTAACTAGCAAAGGGTCGAGACCATGATAGACCTTGTATATTTTTGACAAAAATCGTCAAAAAAATATAGGGACTCTAGGGAAATAAATAGGAAAATTCATAGTAGCAATAGGGAATTTTTACATCACTGGATAGGGATTTATTTTTTACCCATCTGGCAACACTGGTTGCAACGGTTTTTATATTTAGTTAAGTCAAATTTTAAATGTGTTTATACAACCTTCTTTATCTCTGTATACACCAGTAAAACTTTAGCAGCATTTTAATAGAAAATATATAATAAAAGGTATGCTTATTTAAATAAAATTTATAATTTATTTACATGGACATATTTTATGTTTTGTACAATTTTAAAACTAAAAAATTCATATTTTTTAAATTATTAATCTTGATCTGCATAATATGAAACAAAAGTATATATTACCCCTTTCTTTGAAGTTTATAATATCACGTAGATAGATTGCAAATTTGTATATATGATTGCATTGCATTGCAAGATAAAATTAAATTGAGTGTTTCAAACAATGGTTTCAACGGTATTTTATTTTTAGGTTGGAATATGGATTCATTAACAATAAAGATTACACCTTTAAGAAGCAATGACTTACGTAGAAGGACTCTCTTGCAAACAAGAATAATGGCTTCTCCATTACAAAGAAGTGTTCCAAACAACCCAACACTTAATATGGAAATAGTTAATGATGAAAGTGAAAGATTAAATAGGCGTAGTCTTGTTGATATGCAAAGGAGGTTGTCAAACATACCCCAATTACAATCACCTTTAAATGAATCTACAAAGTTTTTGGGAGAACAAGAAATGAAGGACCATTTTCAAATTTGTACAAAATTATTTTCTGAAAATGTAAGTATTCACTTTGTTAAGATTAAAAACTGAAAGACTGGATCAGCCCGGCTAATATTAGGGTTTGTATTTTTTTAAATGACTGCAGTCATGACTAGTGATGTAAAATACCCAGGTATTTACCCGGGTATTTACCCAAATAGGGTATTTACCCGGGTATTTACCCAAATAGGGTATTTATAGGGGTATTTCGATTTAAATCTTGCATAAAAATAGCTTGAAATCAATAAATAGTTTTATTCAATATAGTGAAGTATACTGTAGTAGTACCCACCTTAGATCTTAGATAATATTATTTAAAACTTGGTTTTTTGAATTTTTCACATAAATTTTGAGGTTATGTAAAAAAAATTGTAATTACAAAAGTTGTAGATCCTTTTATTACCTACAACTTTGCCATTTAACTTTTTTCCATAGTTTTGCCGGAAATCGAGATAAACCATTTTTTACCCTTAAAACCCCCCCTCCCACTTTCTGAAGTCAGATGGCCCGTAATTTATTTTTCCTTTCATTTTTATTCTTCCCCTTTTCCAATGGGTTTCATCCTACTGTTATTTTTTTTGGTTTCAAAAATTATCGACCCTGGTCTATGTGTGCCTTTCAACAATTAAGCGGTTTTCCACGATTAAGTGCGTTCAGAGACAATTCTAGTACGTTTATGTTTATATGGTTTAATAGGGAAGTTTAATATTATTTAAAGTATAAATAATAACGCATTTATCAAAAATACCCAGTTTTGGGTAGGTAAATAAAATTTGGGTATTTACCCAGGTATTTACCCAAATTTTATTTACCTACCCACTGGGTATTTACCCTATCTACATCACTAGTCATGACTGTCAAAAGTTGGCCTAATTAATGAATCTATAATTAACTATTATACTATAGCAAAATCCTATATGTAATTCGAGCGCAAAGTGACATTGCGCTCTCGCCGCGTCAAACTTCTCGCTCAGAGCGGCAATGCGGGACACTTTGCGCTCATAATACACAAATAGCTATATCATTGGGTTACTGCAAAACCAGATAACTCCCAAAACACTGTTATGAGTAATTTAAATTTGTAACTTATTTTCATTGGGTCTTTTTACTAAAATTGAAGTTATACCATTTTTGTCCTGCTCGACATTAATTGGTTAAACCGATTTGGTTATGCTCGTAGTTTAGTTGTCCTCGCAGAAACAATTATTAGTTAAAAAATGTACTTAAGTCAACAAATTAAAAAATGGAGTTATCTTATTCTTGCACTAACCCGACGAAATATTATAATTACAACAAACTAAACAAGTATATAATTTTGGTATAATAGGTAATACCTACTGGGTATAGTATAATATAGTACTACTATAATATACTATACCCAGTAGGTATTACCTACTATACCAAAATTACTGTACAATATGTTAAGTATTTATTGTACATATAATTATAATCACTATAATCATTTAAATATACTACTATAATAGTAGTATATTTAAATTATTATAGTGATTATAATTATATGTACAGGGTGATCCCCTATAATGTCGCCCCCTTTAACTTTTTTATTTTAAGTATCCTAAAAAAATTAAAAGTGTGGTTATGTAGATACTAAAAAATACTTTTTTTCTATGTATTAAAAAAAATGGCAAATTGAGCAATATACAGGGAAAAACAAAATGTTTATTTTTTTTCAATGGATCACCCTATATATGAATTTATTTTTCGATTCCTTTTAAAATTATGAGCATAATTCATATAACAAACCATATACCTATATTCAACTGTTTCTGAAATATTCGCATTCGAAATGTTATCATGTTTTTTTAAACTTTTTAAATTAAGAAGCCTCAGTATACCAAAATTTTTATTGAAAATAAATTACTATACTTAATAATGTCAATATGTCTTGTTAAATAAGTAAAAATGGGGTACTCAGACAGAGAAAGACAAACTATTTCAACTTATTATCTTAAAAATAATTTAAATATTTCAGAAACAGTTGAAATTAGGTATATGGTATGTTATATGAAATATGCTTAGAATTTTACAAGGAATCGAAAAATAAATACATATATATGATATGATCCATTGAAAAAAAGTAAACTTTTTGTTTTTCCCTGTATACTGATAAATTTTCCAATTTTCTTTATACGTAGAAAAAAAGTATTTTTTAGTACTTACATAACCATACTTTTAAATTTTTTGGGACACTTAAAATTAAAAAGTTAAAGGGGGGCGACATTATAGGGGATCACCCTGCACAATAAATACAACATATTGTACAGTGTACCCTAAAGGTGTAAATCGTGTTAATAAAATAATTCAAAATAAAAGCATAAGTATACACAATCCCCCCATGCCCTCCCTATAAGGATGAAAGTATTGGGAATAATTTTGGTACTAATTTATTTCCCCCATCGAATATATAATTTTTATTTTAAACATTTTTTGTAAAATGCCTATTTACTAAGATATTTTAAAGTTTCACTCGCCCTGTATGAGGGTTTTTGGGTCGCCGATTACGATTCTTAAAAATTTAAAATGGCGGTTACAAAATGATAAAAATAATAATAATAATAATCTTTATTAGTGCTAATACAATACAAATTGTTAACAACGTCAAAAAAAAAGAAAAAGTAGAAAGAAAAGACTAATCACAAATACATTAAAAAGTAGAAACTTACATAATATAGGTAAATATATGATTAAAACATTAAAACTGGTACTCAAAATACTCGTTTACAGAATAAAACCCGTTTTTTACAAATAAAGATTTTAGATATAACTTAAATTCCTATATGATTAAAACATTAAAACTGGTACTCAAAATACTCGTTTACAGAATAAAACCCGTTTTTTACAAATAAAGATTTTAGATATAACTTAAGTTCCTTAAAAGCCATATTTTTTATGTTGATTGGAAGTTTGTTGTAAAATTTTATTCCGTTAAAATCTGGTCCACTTTGGCATTTATCGAGCCTGGAAAATTTATTCATAAGCTGATTTTTATTCCTTGTATTGTAGTCATGAAAACTATCGTGGCTATGGTACAAATTCAAATTATTTTTAACAAAAAGTAAATTTTGAAGAATATATGTATAAGGAGGGTACCGTTAGAATTCCAAGATTACTAAAAATAGCCCTACAGTCGTCCCTGTAACCAAGAGAGGCGATGATCCTTATTACCTTGCGTTGAAGACCGAATATTTTATAACATTCCGCAGAGTGACCCCACACAATTAGAGCGTAAGATATATGTGACTCAAATAGCGAATAATATGCACTTAACAGTACATCACTAGAGACATTACCAACTAAGTTACGCATGACAAATATACTGGTGATTAATTTTTTGGATAACGCATCAACATGGCAATTCCATCTTAATTTGTTGTCTAATAAGATTCCTAGAAATTTAACTGGTTTTAGTGGGTATCCATCATTTATAGGTCTTAAAGAAAAAATAAGATTTTGTGTTTTTTCTTTGTTTAAAACAAGTCTGTTACTGGTAAACCATAGCTCAGCCTCTGACAGTGCACGCTCGCTCTCTTCATTTAGTAGTTCAATATCTGAGTGTTTCAATATTATTGTGGTATCATCAGCAAAAAGTGTAAAACCCACCGCGTCATTATTGTAGCACAAGTCATTAATGAAAATTAAAAACAGGATTGCGCCAAGAATAGAACCCTGGGGAACCCCAACTCGTAACTCCATCTTCTGACTCACCCTGCCTTCAACCCTGCACACCTGATATCTATTTGCTAAGTATGACTCAATGAGTTTCACACTATTCGCTGAGAAATTGTAAGCCTCTAACTTATTCAGAAGTAAAGAATGAGAGACACAGTCAAAGGCCTTACTAAGGTCGCAAAAAACTGCATTCGCAAACTCCAAATTTTCAAATGACTCATTTATGGATTTTACCATCTGTAAGATAGCAGTTGTAGTGTTTCTACCCTTCCTAAAACCATATTGATAATCACAAAAGATGTCGTTATCCTCAAAAAACGCAACAATCCTATTTGCCATACATTTCTCAATAATTTTTGAAAAAATTGGCAATATTGATATTGGTCTGTAGTTACTGGGGTCTTCAGCATCACCTTTCTTGTAAACAGGAACGACAAGGGCCTCCTTCAGAACACCCGGAAACTCTGCAGATAAAAAGCACATATTTATTAATTTAGCTAAGGGAACAGATATTAGGTATTTTACATTTTTTATTAAATTTATATTTAAACCATAGACATCACAGCTATTTTTTGATTTAATATTGGAAATTATGTCCAGAACCTTAATATAAGTGACTTCCTTAAAATTAAACTGGTATTTTGGTGTTTGAATTTTGTCCAGGTTAACTGTGGAACTAACTACATTTAAATTTTTTTAAATATTATCAGCTATATGAACGAAATAAGAATTCATGATATTGGCTGAAATTTTACAATTTACTTGGGCTCCCCCCTTTTTTTGTTAATAATTTCCCACATACTTTTTATTGGATATTTTGATTTTTTAATCTTATTGTCATTAAAATCTTTTTTGGCATTTAATATTGATTTTTTATATTTAATTCTAAAATCCTGTTTTTGTTTGAGTATTTCTGAGTTTTTAGTTTGCCTTGATAGTTCACTTAAAAAATCTAAGGTGTTTCTCATGTTCTTGAGTTTATTATTAAACCAGCCAAATCCAGTCCCACCATTAGAACTGCAGATACATGTTTTTTCCGGAAAGCATTTTAAAAATGCCCTTTTAAAAATAGATACAAAAACATCAAACTTATAATTCAAGTCTAAACTTGTATTTATAAAATCAAAGGATGTTTGTCCTATAATATTGAAAAAATTATATTTTCCCCATTTAGTTATGGGTCTAAACTTATTAAGAATTGGTTTAGTATTAGATTGTTTTATAAGTTTATTAAATGTAACAATCTGGGCATTATGATCCGAAAAATTTATATTTATCGTATCAGTTGTACAATCATCATACAATTTAAATTTCGACTAGGTAAATAA